ATCCGTATAATTCGTAAAGACAATACTTGATATACCATAAGGAAATAGACTTCCGAAACAATTTAAGGATTTAAAAAGATAAAGGAGTGAAAATAACTAAATAAACAAATGCAAAACACAATGCGATAAATTGAAGTGAAAATAAATTATGAATGCATTCGTGATACGGAGACTCATTCTAAGTTATATTGCCTGATACCAACCATAGGTTACTGCGTTCAGGTGAATACCAGCCAAAAAGCCTACACCTCCATACGCGACAGAGATCAACAGTTTATTCATGAATTCCTGTCACATCATTGTTTAGTCACCAACTGCTTCCTACACGTGCTAAAAGAGCATACATGTACAACATATCTCAGTCACTTCTAGTGTGGTGAGAGCAAGCTGCTAGCCAATTGGTAGACATTGATCTACGCTGATTGGTGGAAATTAATCTAGGCTGATTCAACAACCGATCACAGCTGACCTAGACGTGGACAAATATGATTCGCAGACAAGTGGCTCGCATTTCCGAGAAATATCGAAAACGAGAAAGCAGAAGACTGCGTTTTGTTTGCAATCAACCGATCAGAAGACCGCCTTCTTTCTGCGGGCAGAGCCTTATTAATGTGCGTAAAATATATATAAATACCTGTTGGTTTTCGTAATAAAACTGATCTGTTGCCTGGCCCTTGTCTTCTGTTGTTACACTAGCACCACAACACTTTATCAACTGCCAACCCAACAGTTCTGATGAGACTTCAAGGCAATCAATGAATTCGATCACTTATATATTTTTCTAACATTAAAATACAATTTCGTAGGAGTCCTGTAGCACCAACTAGTACTTAATAAGGACAAAGAGCACGTCAGATATACTCACAATTTCATTCAGAAGAGAGTTTTGTCAGTGTTAACTTCTTGATTAGTATAACATTGTTTTATCGACGCAGTCGAAGACTATCAAAACACCTCTGGATCACACAACTCGAATGTTGAGTTCAAGTTCAGAAAAATTATATGTCGGTATACCGATAAGCACACTTGTATTCTAAGAATTATCAAAGATATAAAAAGTGATCAATGCTTCATCGCCTAAGCCTATACATGTTTGACACTTTCTGGTGTTTTGGAGACTTTACAGATCCTTCAGCCTTAAACGGAATATTAACGATTCTCGTGTCGTTAGCATAACAAACATCGGGATGATTACCGATCTGCATCATTATTATAAGCTTCACTGGATTCGCATATTCTAAATAGTACTCTTTTTATTCTAACTAATAACTCCTGACCAACCTTAAATACTTAAATAATCAATCCGTTAAGCCTTGTTACCTCAACTCCACTCAGAATACACATTTTTTTCCTTCACGTCCCCCAGTGGAACATAGGGCTTCAAGCTAGTGGCTTGAAGTTGGGGTTGCTAGCCTCATGCCCAACCTTTCCTCTTCACCAGCATTATTTCTGGCTTAGCGAGGTAAAGGAGTGCGTCGGCCGGGAATCGAACCCCGGACCATGTGCGTGGTCGGCGAGCGTCCTAACCGCTATACCACCGACGCACATCAGAATACACATCGTTTTCAAAAATTACCTCAGAATCGGGGGACCCATATCTTTGTTGAAGCTGCATAGCGCATAACATTTAATGCAGTTTTAAGGTAAGTAAACAGCCTCCGAGTCAAACAGAAATGTAAAGACATTCTTGGAGGGCGGTACTCAGTAAAGGTGATGTAGCCAACAAGCATGTTTCCCACTGAAAGCTCGAATCAATATGAACCACTCACAATGTGTTTTTTTAATTTATGCTTGCTTGTGACTACAAATGCCACGTGATCAATCAACTCATAAATAACCTAACAGAAAAACAGGTTATATATTTTTATTTTCCTTCTTCTCTGACTACTTCTCAATTTTATTCACTACTCTAACCTTACTTATTTATTTGATAAGACTATGCTATCAAATTACTTTTTCCGCAGAGCTTAAGATGTTTCTTCAAAGTTTGAGTGTATGCTTCGATAGTTTACAACTTTACGTAATCACCTAACGTAAAATCAGCCAATATAACCAAGAACGAGTTTAAACTCTGTAAGATAGATAAAAAAAATAGTGGTGCACCACAAAATCTCCCCGCAAAGTAAACACTTTTGGCGTCTATCAATTTATTGAGATGAAAGGACTGACAGCCAAAGAACGAAGTAACTAACTTTTTATTCGAAACTACTCAAAGTATAGCTTTACTCAAAATAGCACCAATCCATGTTGCCATACTTTGTAACATCTCAAAAAGAGGAAGTGAAGA